GTGTCCCCTGCATGGGCCAAACTTGGCCCTATTTTTGGCCCTATTGGAGAGCACTTTATTTCGTGTGTCCCCTGCATGGACCAAACTTGGCCCTATTTTTGGCCCTATTGGAGAGCAGCTAAAAAAATAGCGTTCACGTGTGGTTCGAATTCATGGCCTCCGGTTCCACAAGTAAGTTCGCGACCACCCGGGCTAGCTAGCGTTTTATTAGAATCTATGGTTCCTTAATAATAGTTCCACCCTGATTCTTTTTGTATTATAAATTCTCTAAAATATCAGCAACCATTGAGAACTAGTATAATGCCCGTGCGTTGCCACGGGATTTTCAAAATTTATAATCAGTATCTTTCATTTATCATCCTCTCATATTGGGTGATTATGGGGTGCTCTAATTAGAAACACAACAATCAAATATTAGGAAATTTCACCGAACGAACAACAACGAATAATACGATATCTATCAAACGAATAAAATGAGGTCATATTTTTGGTCCGTCATGCACTTCTGTTGAAAAGTGCCTATCCCTTTTAGAATCAACCCACTGTTTGCTCGCACGCAAAAAAATACATCTCTAAAGTGGGGAACCGATCGGTGCCAAAAAGAACTCAAACTCCTATCCAATCTCGACTTCGTGCTCTTCCACTTCCATTGATAAAGATGGGACGTCAAGGGTTTCATCATGATGACCTCGAGCAGCCGCCGACATCCCTCCCCACATCTACCCCTACCCCCTGCTGCCGCTTGCACTGTCCTTGCTCCTCGAGGGAGCTAGGGACACAATGTTCTCTAGGATGGGCATGACCAGATCCACGAGGAGGCCACATTCTTCAATGGGAACCAACCAAGCACACCACCCTCCGCAACCATCCAATCACAGCCTAACAAAGTCAAGACCCGCCATCGATCCACAAATCAGGCTCGCCGCATCCAGGTTCACTGCAAGTCTGCGACGAGTCTGTAGTCGACATCTTGACTTTGGCTATCCCCACGGAAGAATCATCGGATCCTGCTTACTTTTACCATCACTTCGTCTCTTCCCAAGGCAGCGACACCACCCAGCCAATCACCACCACCGCTTGCGGCTTGCCTACATAAAATCATGAGAAATCCCAACGGCGGTGCTGTAAGATCACCTTGGCGACCTCGACAGTGACCGACTGGTCTAAGATCTAAGCTAGCCGCTCTTTGTAGAAACCAATAGAAGTAGGCATGTGACTCAGATTTGTTCTTTGGTGTGCATGCATTTTTTGCTGCCCACCAGCTCTTGTCTACAACTCGCCTATCTCTGTACCAGCTCTTGGTCTACAACTCGCCTATCTCCATGCTCGAGACGACAAAGCTCGATGCGCAAATCAAAAGAGTCGAGCTCAAATCTTTTGGGTACGGTGAAGATTGGTGGAAGATCAGCTGGTTCGTCCAATTCTGGGACTTGAATGACGGAAACTCTTTTCGATCTTCTAGTGTCTTCTTGGTCTAGCACCAATCTTCTTGCACAAGCACCTTTCTTCCCTCGCTTTAGAACTTTCTTCCCTCTTACAGTTGATTCAAAAAACTGATTGCTGTCATAGCAGAGGTATTCCACCTTCTTGGAGTAAATCCTAACAACGCCAAGCAGAAGCAACCCAAGTATTCTGTATGTGGTTTCAACGTCGGGCAAAATCTTGTCTGCCATGAACAGGAAACGTGTGAGCTAGTCATCACAATACTATTAGAAAGAAAGAAAATACTTGAAGGGCTATGTCTGTCAACAGAAAGACGCAATGCTTAACGATATTCAAGCAGTTTCCCAGTGAATTCAATATCATTATGTGGTTTTTGTCACAGTAAAGTTGGTTACATGGTATATTCAGTTGGTACCCAACCTGAAACTCAGCTCAGGTTCACGCCTGGATAACGTAGATAAAAAAACATATGTGAAAAGTTCTCGCCGGCCAAGAGCCGTGAACCCCATACCATCCACAAAGACCCATAACCCTCCGTTGGCCAAAACGCAAACACCCCATAGTCAGGTTCAAGCTTTTTATCAACAGCCTATCATTCATCTTCTGATAATCTTAAAAAAAACTGCAATATGTTCCTTTCCCCCCGAAGGAAATTTGAAACGAAATTTGTGAACAGTGATGCTTACACTCCACAAGAAGATAAAAAAAGATAGGTGTGCGCATCGATGCTTCCTAAAATCGGGAAGAAAAGGTTGAATCACCACTCCACCAACCACAACCTAGTAAGGGGAACCGAAGCCACAAGAGAAAAAGAGTGGCTCTCTCTTGGTCTTCTTTTAGGGGTGAAGAACCAAAGATTCCCCTCCCATCCTTCACTCATCACACTGTAAGGTACTATAAACCCCCACATAAACCCCTCCCAATCTACTGTTCCACTCACCCCACAAATCAGAGACCCGCATTCTCCTCTAAGCCCTTAACCAAGCCAGGAAAGAACATGAGACCGCCAAAAAAGAAGATTCTTTTTCCCCAAAAAATTGGTGAGATTTCTCCTCGCCTAGGCCGCAACCAAACCCAAGAAACCCTCAAAACCCCACGAAAAAGAGGGAGCTTTCGTTGCATTGCAGGAGGCGGGCTATGCGGAGGCAAATTAGGCATGATATCGCTTACCGACGGAGGAGGCGACGTCGGTGCCCAGGACCTGGTCCCTGGTGAGCACGGCGACGCCGCGGACGCCCGCGACCCATACCACGCCCAGCGGGCCCTTCTTGGACAGCATCATCTTGGAGTAGAACATCGCGCCGTCGCCGGGCACGAGCAACCGCCGAGCAGAGGCAGGCGGGCAGGCAGCAGACCTATATCACACTACAAAAACAAACCAAACCAAACCAAATTCCGCAATGAGGCGACGGGCGCGAGGCAAATCGAGCCAAGAAAAGGGAGGGGACCGCGCGGCAGTGGAATCAGAGAGCAGATGGGGAAGGCAAGGGCAAGAACTAACCAGAAGCGCCGCCGACAATGCCCTTCATCGCGGCCGCGGGCGGCGAATGGGCGGGCCTCGTGCGGGGCGGCGGGCTGCGGCTCCGCGGTCCTCTGGGGGCGGGGGCGGGGGTTGGAGCCGGAACCGGAGCCGGGTGGGGGGCGGAGGAGGGAGGGAGTGGGGGGTAGAAGTAGAGCGCGGAGGGGGAGGCTGGCTTCGAGTGGAAGGAGGAAACCCCAGGCGCAGAAGTAGGAGACGGAGGAGGAGGGGTAATTTAAATTTATTACCATATAATTACCATATTCAAAATTTCATGAGTTATGACCTTACCATACCTGGATTGATTTATTACTATACGTGGATTAATTATGATTAATTACCATAAATACGTTGGGTATTGCCGGTCAGGCGAGAAAAGAGAAAAACCGGTGGGAGGGGCTGGTGGGAGGTGGGACGAAGAAAAACCGGTTGAAAATAAACCGGTTGAAAGTGGGGGGGACTATTCAACCAATTCGTCCATTAGGAGTAGAGATCAATAAATAGATGAAAAAGAGGAACTACAAAAAAAATAAACATGCATGCATAATTATGCGGGATTGTGGGAAACAAAAGAGAGAGATCTGATGAGAGACAAAACTATTTGTGCATTCGGGGGAACTAATTAAGCGGGATTGATGATAATTAAATGAGATTGATTTGATGAGAGGAAAAAGAGGAGGGATGCGATTTGTGCATGTTGGGGATCTAATTACTCACTCCTTCCATCTATATAGGGCCTAATGCGTTTTTCAAGACCGTCATTGACTATTGATAAGATTAATAGTACATGACATGCATAGTGTGAAAATTATATCATTGAAATCTCCTTTCACATACGAATTAGATGGTATGCTTTGTGTAAGTTGCATGTCATATATTGTTGCTCTAACATTTGGTCAAAGTTAGCCTCGAAAAACACATTAGGCCCTGTATAGATGGAAGGAGGGAGTAAGTGGGATTGAGGGTAATTAAACGAGATTGATTTGATGAGAGAAAAAAGGGGAGGGATGCGATTTATGCATGTTGGGGAACTAATTAAGTGGATTGATGGTAATTAAATGAGATTGATTTGATGAGAGGAAAGAGGGGAGGGATGCTCGTGCTTTGCATGGCTCGGAGGCTCTTGCATGCTGGTGGTAATTAAAGTGGGATTTAATTTGACGAGAGAAGAAGTGGAGGCTCGCCCTTTGCATGCGTGGCCTTTAGTAATTAAGCCGAAACTAAAGAGGAGGATTTCATGAGGCTCGCTTGGGACGACGATGGGAGAAAAGCATAGTAGTGTTGAAAAACAAAAATACATGAATGTTTTTTGTGCGGCCAAATTACATTTTATTTTAAAATTTTACCTGATTGATCGTACATCATTGATGCAACCGGAATACACGACACTAGAAGCCTGGCTGTTGCTGCTGCAAGCAGGGCGCGGCGTTCCAAGAGCAAACACTCTATGCATCTAGCATAAGCATGCCAATGCAACACCAGTTGCCACTATTCTTTTTTACTGGAAAAGTTGGAATGCCATGGTGCAACCGACTATGCATATGCTGCAAGTATGGTCAATGGTATTTCAAGTTAGAGGACGATGTTGCAAAGCCGATCACATGAACGCTACAAAGGATGACTGGCATCAATGTAAAGTCAAAAGCATATCGTTGCAAGGTCAATTGGTAGATTTGCCCCTAAAAAAATTAAGTGTAGATTTCAATATTTTGGAGAAGTAAGCTTTCTTTGCATCGTTGCTAAGGCTGGTTTTGTGATTAATGCGCAGCTGATATACATTTCTTCTACACCTCCGCGTGAGGCTCCCTCTGGTGGCTCCGTTCCATGCTATCTTACCATGTGACAGATGTTTTGATGAACACACCTATTTTCTCTCTCGTTGCAACGCACGGGCCCTTTTACTAGTATGACTCATTAGAAGTAGCCACTCGTAGAGATTATCTTTTAATATGCGCCCATGTGGAAAGTTAAAGCAGTCCAACGTAAATGGACGGTGACAATTCAACGTAAATAGATAACTTGTTTCAAGCAATACATTCTAGAGCTCACTATTGGGTTCTACACTATTTGCTCTCAAGCAGCTCTCTATCCAGCAAGGTGTGTATACACAGAACGATTGTATCCAATCATCACCATCTACGGGTAAGCACCCCAAATCCTCAACCTTGGAGTTCTTAAGATGGTAGGCCACTACTCTTGTATCCGATATGTGCAAAAAGATAATCTCCTTGTAAGGATGAAATCCAAGTATCCTTGAAATGTATTTATGGAACTTTTTCTGAACACTAACTTCAGTGGCAGAAGCAGTAGTGGCATCATCGTTGTCTGAATCCCATTCCAGTTTCTCTCTGTCAAGTGTTTCATCATTGTTATCCCTCAAACCTTGCACGAACCAAGAGCCATGACTGTGTTCCCAAGGAAAAATTTCTAGCAACGGCTTGAGGCCAATCTCATGCTTCAACATCCATTCTGTGTGATCAATTGATTCATTAAGAAACCAAATCTGAAATTTGCAGCAATCACCGACGAATCCATAGTAAACGCCATTCCCAGATTTTTCCCAAATGAGGCATAATATCTCCGCGTGCTTCACTAATCGGGGGGAGTTCAATTACTCGGTACTTATTATCCTCTAAATCCAATCTGCACAAACAAATAAATTCGTTATCACTGTACAACATTAGCTAGCTAGTCACCTTGGTATTGGGTGGCCTTTGCTAAGAAAAATAGGGAAACAAAACATATATACCTGATAACAAAAAATATGTTGTACACATAGAGCCGGCCCCGCCAATACACAGCATCACGAGGGAACAACACGTTTTTCATGAGTGGTAGTAGCTTGGGGTCGATGGACCGTGGAGCCATCCCTTCTCTAATAAAAGATTTCTCCTCCCACAGCCATGTCTCTGACGAGAATGCGCTCATGGTGTAGGGCGACGGGGGCCACTCTGAGTTTGGGTTTGCAGGGTCCAATGCGACCTCGTTCTCGGACCGGCGGCGAACACACTGCATGAAGAACACCTCAAAGTGTGGCGAGACCATAGGATCATACGCGAGGAAGTTGCGTTTGATGAAGCCTTTGGTCGGGGTCCGATCAGGATGACACGGTAGACACGCCCACTGCCGCGTGGCCGGATTGGCCACGCCTCCACAGACGAGGAGGAGGCCGTTGCAGTGACCCATAATGTGGGACCAGTCATCGTGGACGTCGTGAGGTAGCCGAGGTTACCTTGGATCTTGCCTGCGACAGAGGGGCGCGAGAGGAACGCCGGAGGAAGGTGATAGCCGTCAACGAAGTTGTAGACGGCGAAGATGCCGGCCAGGGAGAGCGGCAGGAGGTCCTTGCGCAGCAGGCCGTGGGCGTCGACGGCGGCGCACCACTCCTTGCAGACGGAGCGGCAGGCGGCGAGGCTGCGCGGCATCAGGCGCCGGAGGACGTCCGCGAGCACGTCGCCGGGTAGCAGACCCGCCGGATCCATGGTGTCTGGCGACTGCGCGCGCGGTGCAAAGGAACAGGCAGGCAGGTAGGTAGGGGTCTCGATAGTCTGATGCTTTGCTTCTACCTCGGCTACCAACAGGAAGATGTATATAGCGAGGGCCAATGGTGGGTGGGTAGTGGGTTAGAGTTCGTTCCAGTTTCACGCTCCGATTTTGTTTTAGTCCGAGTACGACCCCGTGAAAGCCGCCAAAGTGCCAAGGCTCTCCAACCGAGGTAGCCGAGGACTTGATGATCGCGCCATTCCGGCCGGCGAAGAAGCTGAAGAAAGCAATCCAGGCTCCGGGCCACTCTGAACAAAAACTCTTCTTCAGCCGGCGACCTCCCCATTGCAGAACCTTAGGGCGTTGGATCTCACGTATCAGATTTGGCCATAGACTCGCTCCACCGGAAATTCCCTCTGCCCCTTCCGTGAGCATGCAATCAAATCGGAGTCCGGACTAGTTTTGGGGGTAGCACTGGAGATCGGACAGCTTTGATTTGATCTGGAAAATTATTTGTTGTAGTACTGTAATTGTTTACTTCCATCGAGGCATCGGCTGGATAAGTTTTCTTTCATGTTGATTCAAATTTGCTTCGACCTAACCAAAAAAGTGTCCAATAAACTGCATACTATGAGCACGGAAATGTTATCTGACTGACGTTCCCTGCGAGGCCAAACCCAGTGAACACCCTCATCGCCGTTGCATGGGTCTCAACGCAGGGGCAATGCCACATCCGACGGATCGAGGTATTTGCTGTCAGTTTGCCTTAAAAACGATATTTATATATACGAAAAATGTATTTGACAACCCTGTAACAATTTGCAGCTGGGAGACGTCGGATCACGATCACGTGATTGAAGCGGTACGCAGAAAAAAAATACACCAAACAGATCGAACCCCACCCTCATGAGAAAACCAATTTTGCTTCCCTCCCACCCTCACGAGAAAACCAATTTTGCTTCCCTCTCTCCCCCGACCTCGCTCCGATCCCCATCCCAGCCGCCGGCGAGCTCGCGCGCCACCATGGTCGCTCGCCCACTACCGCGCCACCACGGACGGAGGCTCCTATTTCCGCCTCCCCGCGCCGCCCACACTCCCCCTCCCCCTACCCACACCAGGCATTGTGCGCCGCCCCCTCTACCTCCTGCGTGCCACCGCGAGCCAACCACGCGTCGGCAACTAGCCAACCGAGGCAGACTCTGTCCAGTGTCCGTCGTGGACTGGGAATGGGCGCGACGGGCGGTGTTGCTCCTGCTGCTGGTGGTGGTCACCGTGCCGGCAAGGCTCTACCGAACTGATTCGGTGTGTGGTCAGTCAGTCCCCTCAGCCATCTGAAAGCTCTGTTTCATCTAACATTTCTCTACACTGCTCACCTTGTTCTGTATGGATTATGCTTACCTGTGGGAGTTGCGAACATTATGAACTACTTATCCAAGCAGTATTGATTTGTTAGATCTAAAACTTACCAAGTTAGCTGATCTGTACAATTGCCTACCTATTCTACTACCATGTTTGGCGAGAATGACAGTGAAAGCGTAATCCTGGTCAAGATATCTGATTGCTTCGACACAGAGATTTATCCTCAGCTTAAGGACATCATCAAGGTGAGCCAAATTGATTACATTTCATAAGCTAAACATTTTCAGTGCCTCAGACAAGTTTCTGGTAAGCAATTAGTTATGTAGAGTGTTATTAATTAGGAAATGAAGAAGATCAAGCGATTCCCGGTGGACAACAACGTGCCCTATACAGAGAGGCTGAAAATTATGCGGACATTGTGAACCCCAAGACCTGCAGCTTAGTGCAGCCGACGAGAGGCTTGTGCAGACCTACAACCAGAAGTCGGTGTTGTCTATACCCCAGCACAAATTCTACAAGCTATACTGACCATTCATGCTTTCTTACATCTCCATCAACATGCCGAAATTCATATATTTCCTGACGCACCCTAATCCTGATTGAAACATGTGCATATATCTACTTATTATGATGTAGGGATTGAACTACTTTGGGATCGATATCGACGTGCACAGGTTCAACTACATATCGTGAAAGGGCTTCGAGACCTTCCGAGAGCAGCACAAACATGGCGCCATTGATCTTGATCTAACCATTCAGGTACTTAAGTTTCCTTCTGTTCTTGGCCTTGGGACCACTTGGCATGAGGAGTATTTTGTTCAGAGGAAGTCTAATGTCTAAACCTTATGCATCTCGGTAACTTACACTATGTCAGCTTGGTCACTTCTAGCGTGTCAACATGACAACACTCACTTTGCTAACCTGTTTAACTCATTTTATTTTTCAGCATAGTAACTTCAATTGTTTCTACCTGATAATTCATATTGATTTAGCTTGATAAATTATAGCATGCCAGCATTTTAACTCGAACCACTTTGAATACTTGTTTTTTTACTTTAACCAGATAACTTAAGCAACTTGAGCTTATAAGTTAAGTTATAAACTTATAATATGTCAGCCTGATAACTTGTGATGTATCAAAATGTTTAACTCTAACTGGTTTCAACACTTATGTTTTACTTCGACTTGATGACTTATGCAGCTTGAACCTGATAATTTATAGTATGTCGGCCTGAAATAAATTCTAGTGTGTCAGCATGATAAGAACCACTTTGTTAGCCTATTTAACTCATTCTATTTTTTCAACATGGTAACTTGAACAATTTCTAACTGATTGTAACGCCCCGAGACCGATGTGCCAGGTGTCTTCCAGTTATTCGCTGTTGTTGCATTGTCATTGCTTGCGTGTCATGCATCTCATAACATGTCATCATGTGCATTTTATTTGCATACATGTTTGTCTCATGCATCCGAGCATTTTTCCCGTTGTGCGTTTTGCAATTCGGCGCTCCTACGTCACCCGGTGTCCCTTTCTACCTCTTTTCGTGTGCGGGTGTTAAACATTTTTGGATTGGACCGAGACTTGTCATGCGGCCTTGGTTAACTACCGGTAGACCGCCTGTCAAGTTTCGTGCCATTTGGACTTCGTTCGATACTCCAACGGTTAACCAAGGGACGGAAAAGGCCTCGTGTGTGTTGCAGCCCAACAACCCTCCAAAGTGGCCCAAAATCCACCTAAACCTCCTCCTCATCTCGATCGTTCGATCACGATCGCGTGGCCGAAAACCGCACCTCATTTGGACTCTCCTAGCTCCCTATATATATATATATATATATATATATATATATATATATATATATATATATATATATATATATATAGAGAGAGAGAGAGAGAGAGAACGGCTTTCCTATCATCACTAGTAGCAGAGGGTGCTATCATAACCCTTGGTTTGCATCAAGATCCGAACTTTTGTATGGATAAGGTTCTGAATTATTGAATTATAGATGATCACATATACAGAAGAGGAAGTCATGTGAGGATACTTTCTGGCAGCGTAGACATCACTAGTGCAGAACCGGGCAATAGCACCGGTTCGTAAGGCCCTTTAGTGCCAGTTCCATAACCGGCACTAAAGTGTGGTCACTAAAGCCCCCCCCCCTTTAGTACCGGTTCAGCACGAACCGATGCTAAAGGGAAACCACGTGGCACGAGCCAGCTCCGGGGGCCGGGAGCCCTTTAGTACCGGTTGGTAACACCAACCGGTACTAATTGTTTGTGGGTTTTTGTTTTATTTTGTATTTTTCAATTAAATTTGTGTTATCAATTTAATTTAGGATTGTTTTACGTTATAATGAGTTGTAGTCGTCGTCATCATCATCATCATCATCATCATCGCATATTAATAAATAAATAAACTCTAGCTAGCTAAAAATCATCGTAGTCATCTAATTACCACTATTTAATCATCATAGTCATTACCGCTAGCTATCTAATCATCACTAACACTGGCTAGCTTAAAGAGGAAACATTCACTTTCCAACAGAAGCAAAGATATCATCGAGTTCAACATAATCATCACCAACATCGAAGGTCAGGACACGGACATGAGACACTAATTA